GTGAGTTGGGCGGCGAAGGAGAGGCCGATCTCTCCTTTCTGCTCTTTTGTTTCTTGTGCGGAGGCTGGTTTCCCTCCGGGGCGGAACTGAGCAGGGGAGAGGGAGGCCGTGACGAGATGTCTACCTGTGTTCATTGCAGTTGTGAGTTGAGGATGAAATGCTGGGACATGTAGTTTGTTAAGTATTATTATTTTTTCTTTATTTTTAAATTATTTGTTATATTGTTATTGATGTAATTATTATTATTATTATTATTATTATTATTATTATTATTATTATTACCATTATTACCATTATTATTATTATTATTATTATTCATGATAAATAGTAGAAGAGCTTATGATATGACTGGTTATTTTATTTATGTAAGTTACTTTAATGTAAAAATCTATGAAAATCATGTATCAATGTAATATATGTAAAACTCAGGTTGGGAATGAGTTTTTTTTTTTTTGTAGTTAGCATTGTATTAGTAGTACTTTTACTAAATTAAAATTTCTACCTTTAGAGTTATGTTAGATACTTTATCTAGAGAACATTGATAGTTATATATTCTAAGATATACTGAAAGTATTGATGAAATTATTTTTTTTTTGTGCTTTTTGGGAAACATATTTGAAAGTTGGTTTATATATTTTTTTTAAATATAGAGATAGACAAAAGGATCAGTGTGTATTTTACTATTTATTTCTTATATATATGTGTGTGTGTGTGTGTGTGTGTGTGTGTGTGTGTGTGTGTGTGTGTGTGTGTGTGTGTGTGTGTGTGTGTGTGTGTGTGTGTGTGTGTGTGTGTGTGTGTCTCTGTCTGTTTGTTTGTCTACACATGCGCACATTTATGTATGTTTGTGTCTGTGCACATTTGTGTGTCTATACACACGTGCACATTTGTGTGTGTATACACACACACACACACACAAACAAACACATACGTATACATACATACATACATACATGTATACATATATAAAATATTTACATTGAAAGGTGGAACAGCATCTTTGATCTTTAGATGAGGAAGAGGTGAAGGTATATAAAAGGGTAGACAGAGAATTAACACAAGACACCAGTTCAGGTCAGGAACATGGGAAAAGAGGCAGGTTAGATTGTTGTATTTTTTGCTACAGAAGACATTTTTTAGGCCAGAAACATCATACAAAAAATTACCTTTGTCTTGTGACCAAATGACCAAAGTTCAGCTAGGCAGATTGCCTGATATCCTCTAAACTCAGTGACATGAATAATGTACTTACCGTAAATTTGTAGCCTCTCCATGCCAAGAGATTCAGGAGTGAAAGCATGTGTAGTAAACACTTCGGGTCAGTAAAATGGACTCCTGTAGGGGATACGGGAATAAACAATAGTACATAGCCATGCTGTATGAAAGACAGATTTTGGGGGGAATGATGTCTTCTGGGAGTCAAAAGTTTTGGAATATATCTCCACAATAGATACTGTATTTTAATATTTTTCCCCCAAAAAAAGTCTGCTTGAAAGGGGGTGGGTCCTGTGGCATGTAGCATCAAGGAGCTAGAAAGCCCATGGGAAGGAGGTACTAGGGATTTAGTTTTAGTCATCCAGAGGAAAAAGAATAATGGTTTGAAGGGAACAGATTAGCAGCAAGTGCCAAAGTGCTTGTGATTAGGGTCTTTTTTAACAAAAGGAGGACCTCAAGGAAAATTGATTGAGATGTAAGACATTGTGTAGGCAGAGCTGATCTGAAACTTGAAGTATACACAAGAAAGAATGAAATCAGTACATGTATATTTGTGTGTTTGTTTGTCTGTCTGCATGTCTGTGTCTGTGAGTGTTCATATCTGTACTCATATGTATTTTTATTGAATAAAGCCAATAGGGTTTTGATTTGATGACAAAATATCAAACAGTTTTATTGGAAAGCTAACACCCTTGGGTTTTAGTCTTGTTGAAAAAGTTTAGTTTGACTTTTAGATTGCACATTTTTAATTGAGTTTTGTCTCAGTATATATGTATGTATGACTGAATGAATAATATATGTTTGTGTTTATGAATGAATGGATGTATGAATTTATATTTGTATAAATGTATTTATTTATAGGAACACAGAACCTGCCATTCAAATGTTCACCCCAAAGGTTAGGATGTGTGAGTGGAAACTTTATACTAAAGAAACTTTAGTATAATAGTATATCTTTTAAAAGTGGTTCAGCTCCCATTATGTTCATTCTGTCTTTCTGATTGAAATTGATATTATAAATGTTCAAATACTATCTTCTGGATCATAGATAAATGATATTATGTAATTATGTTATTGGTCCGTGGCACACTAGTTAGTCATTCTATCACTCCATCTGTGACAGTATTATAAATCTGTCAGCATCATAGGCTTCGGTAATTTCTGGGAACATGTAGCGGACATGTAGCTGAACTTCCTGCTCGATGTGCTCTAGCACGTTGACACACAAAAAGCTGTATCCGGCAGATCAGCGTTGCTTATCTTAGTATCCTACCCCATCCAGTTTTACATATCTATCCTATCCCGTCCAGTTTGTTTTGATGGTTTAGGTTTCAAGTTCTTTAACCCCTTGGTGATGGGTTAAGAAAACTAAAAAAAAAAACTCTACGCTCTGGTGATCAATGGCAGCGCACAGACTTTGAGTGTGGGAGTTTGGTAATTTAAGCCGAATCACCGGATCTCTGGCGTACAGTCGCACGCCACAGATCAAGCGGTTTGTTTTCATGCCTAACGGCATGACCTGTTGGGAAGTGGTTAATATTCAGATGACTTGGTATACAAGAAAAGTCAGGATCTTTTAGCATTTAGTGGGAAATATAGTATTCCATTATGGCTGTAAGTTCAGAGTTTATGTTGCCTTCATTTCATGCTCAGTGGATTGGGTTATGATCTGTATAAGATTGGAAGGCATTTGTAGGCATCCTGATAAGATTAGTTGCTCTAATTATATTAGTGTTTGAATATGTTAGTTAACCCAATGGTGACGGGTGAAGAAAACAAACAAAAAAAAACTCTACGCTCTGGCAAACAATGGCGGCGCGCCGACTTTGAGTGCGTGAGTTCGGTACATCAGCCCGAATCACTGGCTCGCCGTGCTTTGGCGCGCCGCCACGTTGTACAGCTGCATGCCACATATTTTGCAAACTATTATGAGAACATTTTTATTTTGTGTGTTAGGTTGAGAGAATGAGTGTATGTGTTTGTCTCTGTGTGTACAGATCTGTGTGTTTGTGATTACAAAAATCCTCTTCCATGGCTGATATTGTATGTGATAGAAACTGCTAATTGATCATTATATTTTTTATTAAGGAAATTTAACAGAATCAAGGGGCTGACATATACACTACATGGGCATGCATCCACTCCCTCACACACTCTGATGCTAACATACTCAGTTACTACTTGCACACTCATTCACATACACATTCACTCAGTGGTATATGTATTGTTGTAATTGTAATAACAGGTCTTTGAAACAGATTGAAACATATATATTTATATAAACCTCTTATTTTTTCTGATTTCATTTCAAGTGTGTAAAATGTTTAATCTAGTCTTTGATAAAGATGGTATTTGTAAATCCTATGCAAGTAGATATGAAGAAGGTATATCCACTGGATGTATCTTATATAATAATAGTGCCCATTATTTTACATGCATTGTGACCATTCTAATATTAGTATCAGAAAACGTTTCTTTGGCAGACTGTCATGAATAAGTTGAGTGTTCCTTTTTTTTCATATTTTATTTGAGCTGTTGATGATTTTCTGTTTCTATAAGCTGTTCCTGACTCTGCTTAATGCACAAGATCATTTTTTATTAACAGTATGATGTGATTTGGCTGAAGGATTGGTTTGCTTGTTAAAAAGAGCTGCCTCATGTCGTGAAAAAAGCACACCCCCCTTGATTTCTTCTAATTTTATTTGAGCTAAATACAGGACATCCTTGAGCATGAAAGAAAAAATGTTCAGCAACCCAAATTCTGTTCTGTTTGTATTAAAAAAAGATAAGTGGTAATGATTATTCATAATTAGACGGATAAGTTATTTACTTCGGTTATTGGTTTGCATTACTCATTGTGTGCATAATGATCATTAATTCGGATAAGCTGTACTTAGCACTGCCTTGTTTTCAGGGGCAGATCCAAAGGGCTTCTCACACAATGGGGAAATTGACGAAAACTAAATTTTGTTAAATTTTGTATAAAGCACAAAATGAAAAAAAAAAAAAAATGTTTTTTTCTAGCTCTAGATCAATATATTATTCTCCTGCAATTTTCAGGATAATCTTTACACTGTTCTGCTTTTTTCTGACAGCTGCATATAAAAAAAAAGAAAAAAAAAATGTGAACGAGTAATATGTTGTAGATACTTAAGCAGATTTTCAGATCTCAGATGTAGATCCTATTTTTTTGATTGAGTCTCTGAACAGCTCCCTCTGAAGAGTAAAACCAGAAATGCTTAACAACTTCCTGGTTGGATCAGCCCCTGTCATGTCTTGCAAAACACATTGTTATGGATTTTATCTGTGGGTGCATAAGGCTCATTATGCAGACGTGATCCCTTTTTTTCTTTCATGCAGCCTACTGGGGACCATAGCAGTTGCCAGGTGCACCTCTTATTCGTTTGCTTGTGTCCCTGCCTGCCCCGTTCTGTTGTTTAAAGGGCCGTTTCTTAAGTTTAGGCCCCAATTTTCTTAGCAAAACAAGCAGGGCTTATCGCATTTTTAATGAGTTTATTTGTTTGAAGAAGCTCTTGTTTGGTTATAACCTTTTTTTATTGATTGTTTAGGATGTTTATTATTTCCGAAGTCTACTTTGAGGATTTTGTTTACACATCTTTTTGTCAGTGAGATGAAGCCCTGTTTGTTTATGCCATAAACATTTGTTTACTGTTCACTTACAGCTTTAAAACAATAATGATCATTGAGCATGTGTTGCTTTTTTTCAGATTGATTTGTTTGTTCACATGCTTAAAGAAAGAGTCTATATATCGTAAATCTCAGTC